CGATTCCTTAAATCTTTCTCGTCTAAGGTTTTCTGATTCTGCGAATTTTCCCGAGAAAATGGGTCAAGAAAGGTTTCTGAATTTTGTTATCGATGGGGTTTTACAGTGAGCTTGGACATGAACGATGGAGAGATAATGTCCGTACATCGCCTTGAGAAATCCATGGCAGTGAGAAACGAGTCTCATGTCAGCTTGGCGATTCTTGCTTCCTCTGCCGTTTCCCCAGTCTCTGCCAATCATAATCTGACAGCTCATCACAACGCAACCCAATCGCACAATGCAACTGATAAGCCTGAGCTTCGTAACAGGGAAGAAACTGGGGGAAAAGGGACGAAGATCAAAGGTAGAAAGGAAAAAAGAGAGAAAGAGAGTAAAAAGTTCAAATCGGTGGTAAAAGCAAAGCAGTCGTCACTCGCCGGCTAAACTCTGACCGGGTAAAAGTTCCTGACGGTGCGAATCTTTCACATTCTCTTACTTCAGTCCAAACAGTGAATTTTTCTTTTTAGGAATTGCGTTTTGCTCTGTATATGCTATGAAAGTGAATATGAGAGTTCAGAGAGATTTGATACTAGTTTTGAATTTGGGATGAAAATTGTTGTGAACAGAAGAGATGTAAAATCCATTGGAAGAAATGTTTTAGAGGGTAATCTGAATGTTACTGTTGAGGATGCTCGAGCTCACTGATCTCTCCGTCTGCGCAATTTCCGACCCAAATATACATCGTTGTGTTTCTCCGACTCGGCAATACTCTGCAACAATCCCTCCTCGGTGACTGCAAAACACATTTTTTTCTAAAACGTTAGCTAAACCGGTTTATAATTTGCAACCAACCGGTGACCATCTACTAGCTATAGACTATAGTTAGAAACTAAAATCAATTTCCGGTAAGTGTTTTAAGTGACCGGAATCTTCCAAAAAACGAACCGGTGTTCATTATATTGACTAGCTAAATCAAACCGGTACGAACCGAATATATACTGTAGATTGAAAAACAGAGGAGTTTTGGAGTCCAACCTTGTGCCATCTGAGGGGATCGGGTCGCTTGAGAACGACGACGGAATCGATTTTAGCAGGAGAATCGAGCCTCCAACGGCAGCTGGGAATCCTTCTTGTCTTGTCCAAGTTGTAGTAACCAATGACCTGGCGACGTCCTTCGTCGTACTTAGCAGAGTTTACGTAAAACACGAACGGTCTCTGGCACGGATGCCTCGACACGGGTCTCGTGTTGAAAGCGTAACCAATGTAGTCGGCCTTGCGGAACCAGTTTAGGAACGTTCTCGAAGGCATCTCGAGCTCTCGAGGAGAAATGATGCCTCGAATTATCTGGACGGAAAATCCCCATGAGAGCGATATGGACCAGAACCGGCTCTGGTCGTAGCAGATGGACTGCTGGAATATGCTGGCTGAGTCAAGATCTGCTGACGACATCAGGTGCCTGAGCGCACGTGACCGTTTCATCTTCGGGAATATCGGCTGCACCACATCAATGTGGTGCAGCGACACCAGAGGAGCCACTGGATGTGCACCTAACAGTCCCAACAGGTCTCCATAAACATCGTACTGCATAGACAGAATCATATGTCAGTGCTTGAGTCTGAAACGGCCACTAGAAACAAAAGGGAACTAACCTGGTGGAAACCAGGCTCTTTGGTTAAGGGTACGCCAAGCTCGGTCATACAAGCTTGGATGCGATCGTCGCTGCCGTAGAGACCAGGGTATCGCTGGATACAACGGTCTTGCATCCTGGAGAGCTCGAGGGCAAGAGGGTAGCTAATAGCGAACCCACCGCCTCCAAATGCCATAGAGTATGAGAAGAAGATGTTCTGAACATGAGCCTCCGAGGAGCTACCAACGTAGTAGTACTGATTGTGGTCGTATTTTGAGAGGACATTGACTACATTGTCCACCACAAACACCGTGTCGTCGTCCCCCATCACGAACCACCTTACGCCTTCTTTCCCTAGCCGTAGCGTCTCCGTCACTACCCGTGATATCCTCACCGCCGATCTGTCTCCCACCGGATGCGTGTACCTAAAATATGTAATAGCAAAAAACATGATGTCTTGTAGGGTTTCTTGTCAAACACGTCAGAGAAGAATGCTAGAATGAGAGCATGTTTACCGGAAACGTGAGGTGTCCTCGGAGATTCTGATCTCGGGAAGAGGTTCGTTACGGTAAGTTCGGACTCTCTTGTCGATCCAGACAACGCCACGTGTCTTACCTGGTCGCCACCATGATTTGATGTATTCTTTCCTCGTCTCCCACAGAACCGAAGACGCGGCGATCCCGAATACGACGTGATCCAGCGTCGTGTTGAACATCCTTGGTCGCCGAGGGTAAAGAGCAGGGACACGTGGAGGGACATCGACGTCTTGTTCTTCCTCCTCGGGCTCTTTACCAACGGAGGAAGAGTTTGTTTGTTCGGGAAGTGACAAGCGATAGGTGGAAGAAGGACGGCATGTTTTGCGTCCGCCTCCTCCGGTGGTTGAAATGAGAAGCAAAGGGAGGAAAAAGAGGAAGATGAAAAGCCACGGCAGAGGAGATCTGAGGAAAGAGACCCGGGATGTGTTGCTGTTGCTGTTGTGATTTTGGGTTTGGTTTCTTGGGGTCAAAGTCTTGAGTTTGTCGTGATGGTGATGATCTTCTAGAAGTCTGTTTTTGGGGTTGCTAAGATTGGTGTTGGAGCTTGAGCTGTTTCCCATGGTGGATGGGAAGAGACAAGAGAGAGTTGGAGACTACTTTGTTTCTTTCTTGTTTTTGTTTTTTTGTTAAATCAGATTCTGTTGCATCACTAAGTAAAATGAAGAAGAAGTTTCGGTGGAAATGAGCTAAATTAAGCGAAAGAGAGAAAAGGTCTTCCGAATTTCAAGGCAAGAGCATCGCCTTGAATCAGTAGCAAATTATGTGTTCTCACATTCATCACTTTCACATTAAACTAGAAGATCTCAATACAATAACAGCAAATCGAAATTTTGGATATCTGTCTAGGCAACAAAACTGGTGCAGTGAAGGAACAAAAAGAAACCACTGGTGTATCCATATCAGTGCCTCGTCTGCCAAAACAAAATGGACAATACATTGTCAAACACAATATAGAGACTGAGAAGTAAGCGCTGATATAATTCAGCAGAGAATACTTGAGGGAAAAGAATAGAAATAGACTGATTTACCTTTCTCCTCTTGAATTTTCCTCCCTTTTTACGGCCACTGCCACTGCCACTAAAGCTTGCTGGCTGTTCACCATCTTTATCCAAGAACTTGAAGTCGAAAAAGTTCTCGGTTATTCCATCCAACCTGATTCAGTTAAACATGAGTGCATCTCACATAAGATTAATCAAAACATCACATCTTCAATTAACACACCAAAGCAAAAACGTACCCATTGCCTGACTTCAACCGCTTCTCTCTCTTCTTATCTTCCTTTGTGCGAGGTGCCCGGATAAAGTGTTCTTCTTCCATCTTTTGTTGCCTTTCAGACTGTGCTAAGTACTTCTTAAGTTCCCAGCTCTCAGCCCCAAAACCATCTATGATCTGTTTATAATTCATTCACCCATCAAGTTCGAACATCAAATTAAATCGCTACTCATATCAACTGCAAAGTAATTTCCTTCCAACCCACCTCTTCAGGCCTGTCCTCGTGATCGTCCAACACAGCTTTCAAGTATGTATCTTGAGTGGCTTTCCTTAGAAGGTGCATCTCGTCTCTGGCAGCATCTCTTTTCTGTTTTGGCGTCTTGTCAACCATAGACGTAGGAGCGATTTTAGGAGGCCGATAAACACCGCCCTACGTTTACAAAGGCCAGTGGTTAATGAAAAAAGAACATACATACACCACATTCCTTCAGAATCAGAAGTGTAATGAGATAATTAAGGTTTACCTCTGGTTCATCCTCAGTTTTGTCAACAAGTAAGTCTGGTTTCGGCTTGTAACTTGAAAGATCTTCAGATTTTTGGGCTGCACCCAACTCCTTTTTCTCGGAATGAGCTTGTTCAGCCACAGACCCACCGGCTGTAGTGAGCTTCTGAATTTGGTACTGGAGTTTTTTGTCTATGGGTCGAATCTAGTCAAAAGAAAAACGAGTTACACTATTGATCTGTCTTGTTGGCCGGTATAAAGTGCGAAAAGACAATAAGATACAAACCTTTTCCAGAAACATTCGTATCTCTACTAGGCTCCTTACAACAGGATGGCCATCAATAGAGAATCCTTTTGCTTTCCTTAGCAGATAATATACGAGACACTGGCAATAACTTAGAAGTAACAGATGTTTGGCCTCAAGATAACTCATCCCATCCGCTGTCGGGAAACTGTTTGCTTTTACCTATGATTTGCAAAAATTAAAAAAAAAAAAAAATCAGGATGTCGTGAAACATGAATTACCCTGAAACCCATTGTGTCTCTGAATGGTAATGATTTAGTTAATCCCTTAAGGGGGAAAAAGCACTTTGATCTTTAGCATTAAAGCCAACAATTATTCTTATACCAGACTGAAACTACTTGTCACAGACGAGAAAAAAAGGTTCTCATTAAGTAGAGTCCAAAATTTTTTTAAGATGCTGTAATACAAGACTTTGTACCTTTGCAGTCAAAGCCTCCACTTTGCTCCTAACCACATCTAGACCTTCCTTCATTTCTCTCAACACGGATGCTAACTGTGGAGCTTCTCTGAGACAGTCAAAACAAGAAAACGATAACAGTAAAAAACGTGAAGTATAATATCATATCCAACCACACGAGTTCATTTTTTTCCCTGTGTGAGAATTGTGGTGATTCATTGCTTATACAAGCTAAATTTTGTTTTTCTAGCTAATACAGAGAATTGTCTTTATGAACTTCTTCATCAAAGAATAAGCATAACTCACATATTTATTCTTCCGATAAGACTCGGTATTGCGATCTCCTCCATGATTCTTTGTCAGAACTAGACAGAAGATAAGCCTGCAAAAATGAACACTAACCTAAATGTTCAGAGAGTTACCCCTAAACACCATATCAAAACTGATAAAACTGATAGTAGTGAGTAAGAAAGTTATCAAATTCCTGCAGAGAGAGAGAGAGAGAGAGAGAGAGAGAGAGAGATTTGGCAAAAGAACACAGAGCTGCAGATTCTTTTTTAAGACAAAGACCAAAGCCTAGAGACAGATGCAGCAAGAGGTCTTTATAAGACTATCTCTCCGGATGTCGATTAAACGATTCCAGAGCATGAGGGGGCGGTGGCTGTCGGTCCGACAACACAGCACACCACATCTCGAAGCGAAAGAGAGATTAAAAGCTCACCAGGGATAAACAACTCGGCGGAGAAGGTCACGGCAACAAAATCTCTCTACCGTTTTCCGAGGGCAACTGGTTTATGGAGACCGGCAAGATATTCTTTCTTTAGTTAGCAGTTTTTAGGGCCCAATACAAACCTTGGTAATAGATGTGCCTATTCTGGGCCTAACTTTCATCTTCTGTTTAGGGCCTATTCTGGGCCTAACTTTCATCTTCTGTTTAAGGCCTATTCTGGGCCTAACTTTCATCTTCTGTTTAGGGCCTATTCTGGGCCTAACTTTCATCTTCTGTTTAGGGCTCATAAGGGCGGCTAATGTTAATTTCCCCTATGATTTCGGACACTCTAAACTTTATGGTAACCATTTGCTGATTTGGCTAACCCCTTGATGAAAATTTTAGGGCTACGGATTTTGGGGATATCTTGTTGCTATAAATCTGTTTTCGACACATTTTTCCTTCTATGTATATAAGGAAATCGAATAAATAGATAATGTCTTACAGTATTTTGTGATACCTTACACATATTTTTATCAAGGCTTGCTTTTAAAAAAAGGATAACAGATCATGGGCCTTTTTTTTTATCAAACTTTAAAAAATAAGAAAAGAAAAATCTGGGCGTTGGACCCAGCCCCGTCTCGCCATGGGTTTGGGCCGGGACTGAGTCTGCGAATTGACTTGAGGTTACTGCTCGGTTGCCAAAAGAAGCACAAGGGATCACATGCCATTTACCATTCTCTTCATCTCGGCTGATCGTCTGGGATCAGGTTCTTCAATCGCTCTCTCTGTCAGCACATGCTTTATGCGGCACATTGATCTCCTCACCTATATAATAAGATGCAGACAAAGTTGGGGGTTCATGAATGTTTTTGGAGGGTTTAATATTTCTTTCCATAACATTTTATCAAAAACTCAATTGGAATTGAGAGTTAAAAGCAAGCTGTGTAACTATTACCTTTGGAATGCGTTCAGGGTTTGGAAACATCATGTTCTGTGCCTGAAGCATCTGACGCTGAGTCATCAACATGTTTTTCTCTTTCAGAAGAACGTACCACAGCTTCTGAAGATCATCCCATGACTTAAGGCGCAGTTCTGAAGCTTTCCAACCTCGACCTAACACCACATGAGCAAAAACCATTAGCAAATGAAACTATCCTAACCTAGCAATCCTTATATCCATATATTCCATGGCACAGCAGAGTATAATAACGAAGCGTGTTTTAAAAAACCAATTAGTTAAAGAATGACCATGTTAAAAGAAAAACAATTAGCACAGATCTCACTACAATCTTAAGCCACAGTAAAATAACTTCTTCACTTAGTACAATACAAGAACAATCCACAAGTAACTAAAGGCCTGATTTGGGAAAACAATGTAAGCATTAAAGCTCAGGAAAGATATCCTTAAAAGACTTTGTAAGAGCTATCTCAATTCAGATGTTACAGCTTTAAAACATAGCACATTTGGGTAATTTCGTAGCATCGTAGACAAAAACATCAATCAATCCATGAAGAATACACTCTCCATAATGGAAACGACTTCTGAAAAGAAATAGGAACACACCGTAGACAACAGGTTTATCTTCGTCCTGGCTTCGGTCAAACTCAAAGAACTCTTCGAGAGGGTTTGTGGCCTTCCGAACAGTGGAGGCAGCTGCTGCAGTAGTGGACTCCGATCTCGTAGCTGCAGCAGCCGCCAAGAATCTCCTTCCGAAAAATCGCGTAAGAAACATGGTCACAACACTTTCTACGAGCTTGCAGTTATGTAATCCGACCTACCAAAGATCATCAACAACAATCAGAAACGAGATGCGTACAGCTGATTGAATAACCAAATGCTAATAAAATGGTGAAATCTGTTCACAAATCTCACACTTCCAAACAAGTAACGGGTCGTCTACACAGCAAGCAAAAGCAGAAGAAATAAGAACTCACCGGAGATATAGAACGGAGAGCAATATGACGGCGACGATCACGGTCACAGAGAAAGGAAAATCAATCAAAACCCTCTTACAACATTTCCAGGATATAGCTATACGGAGACGGATATTTAAGGCCCGATACTAACTTTGGGTAATTTATGAGACTCTTATGGGCCCAATACGCTCGGATAGTTATATTTTTTTCTCTACCCAACCAATCAAAAATTGTGAAAGACGAAGGAAGTGAAATCCACGTCATCGATCCGTCTATTATTGTTAACGATGCTACAACCATCAGATCAAATAATCAACGGCTGGTATGAAAATCACGCGGATCGTCTCTGTTTATATATTCACATTCACCGGTCTTGTAGTCGTCATTTTCATTTGCTATCTTCTCCGATCGTTTAACAGGTATCTCCTTCTTCCTCGTGCCGATTAATTTTTGGTGCTGAAAAATCTCCCTCTTCAGTTTTCCGACTAGCTTCGGAGATATTTTATTCTGTCTCATTAATTGTTGCATTTTCGGATAAATTTGGAAAGTTCGATTCCCATTTCGGTGGATGGATTTGTAAATCTAGGGTTTCTGTTCATAATCACTTTCTGAATGCTAGAATTGAGTTGATTTCTGATATGATTCTTGTTTTATGGTTCTTCAGGTCTTTGATATCTACTGAAACTGTGAAGAGATGTCAGGAAGAGGAAAGGGAGGAAAGGGGTTGGGAAAGGGAGGAGCGAAGAGGCACAGGAAGGTGCTGAGGGATAACATTCAAGGTATCACCAAGCCTGCGATTCGTCGTCTTGCTCGTAGAGGAGGCGTCAAGCGTATTAGCGGTCTGATCTACGAGGAGACCAGAGGAGTGCTCAAGATCTTTCTCGAGAATGTCATCCGCGACGCCGTCACCTACACAGAGCACGCCCGGAGGAAGACGGTGACTGCCATGGACGTTGTCTATGCTCTGAAGAGGCAAGGTCGTACTCTCTACGGTTTCGGCGGTTAATCGACTCGACGACAGTTTTAGGAAATGGGATTTTAGGGTTCTGAAAATCTTGTTTCTGAAATCTTCGTGTTTTCATTTGATTACCCAAAGTAAATCCAGGAAGTAGCTATCGTTTTCATTTGCCAATATGATATTGTATTACGCTGAGAATTTCCAAATAGTAAGTTGAGATGGATTCCTCTGCTTAACATTTACTATGAATCCCAATCTGCAAACGCTATTCAACATAGCTGGAAATTAGTTGTAGTGATTTTTAATATAATCCTTCAACTTCTGGGAAGGTCTACTTACTAGGGAAAAGAGGAAATAGCTTAAATTTACTCATCTTCAATGGTTCTTTTAGGTCAGTTATTCAGTTGGTAATATTCACTGTCGTTAGTTCTTTTGTATGTGTTCAATGTCATAGAAAAGGTGATTTGTATCTCTGATCGGATCAAGAGCATCCTCTGATCTGAGTTTGCACTTGAAATCCAATCACGCAATAAACTATTTCAACGAGATACCACATTGTTATATTATAAGATTACGCAGGTAAAGAAGCACAGGAACGAAAGCTTAGTTGGTTATAATAGCATTCATCTCTATTACTGGCTTTGTGTTGTACAACACATGTCCATGACCAAAATGAGAACCAAGTTAGAAACGTTTTTTATCGATCCAAAAAATATCGTTTAGAAAATTAAATAACCATCGCTGAGTTAAGCAACAAAGTGAATTTCAGCTAAAACTAGAGTCTAATAATGCTTATTTTGATTCATTTCCTCCTACTCCGCCTTTTGCTTAATGGAGGGAGTGCGAGGTGCGTAGCGGTAGCCACTGGTACACCTTCCTACAAACTTGAGAACTTCATCTATCAGAATCACCGGAAGCGACACAGCCAGCACCAGCAGCCACTCGTTCAAGCTCAGTGGCACTATCCCAAACACCTGAGCCAGGAATGGCACGTAAAGTATCACAAAGTGGAGTCCGAATGAGACCGCCATTGCCAGGAGCAGCCACGGGTTCACCCACGGTGGCATCGTCACCAGGCTGCCGTCTTCTGAGAGTGCGTTCAGGGAGTTGAACATTTCAATGGCCACCAACACCGAGAGGGAGAGTGTGGATGCCTTTATTTTCCCCTGATGGAAATAGTCGCATGGGTTTGAGTCGAATGAGAAAGTCTGTGAGCCAGCCGTGAAAGGAGATACTTTGAAGCCTTCCCATGAAGAGCATTGGCCCCAGTGAGCAAGCTGTGAGTAGCTCACAAGGCTGTGACCGTCTTGGCTCAGATCTATGCCCATGAAGCTGTTGTGTGTGTACCATATGATGAATACTCCCACCGTTGCTACTCCCACATACATACCAATCACCTATAGGCAGGTACCCATATTAGTCAAAGTTAGAGAAAAAAAATCCCCAGAAGATGAACAAGGGAGAGAAACAGATGTCGGGATTTGCATACCAGATAGCGGAAGAGGATCCATGCAGTGATAAGCGAGTCATCGCTTCTGCGAGGAGGCTTCTTCATAATATCCTTGTCAGGGGGATTGAATCCCAAAGCCGTAGCTGGAGGACCGTCAGTTACAAGATTCACCCACAGAAGCTGAACTGGAATCATGCCTTCTGGGATTCCAAGAGCAGCTGTCAAGAATATCGATGCAACCTCACCGATGTTGGAAGATATCATGTACCTTTTATTCATCATAGTCAGATTGATAGGATCAATATATTAATAACTCAAGCCACCACGACATGACCATGTATATAAACTAGAAAACTCACCTAATGAAGGCCTTCATGTTGTTATAGATGGACCTGCCTTCACCAACAGCTGCAACAATAGTGCTGAAATTATCATCTGCTAACACCATGTCAGAAGCCTCCTTAGCTACCTGAAATATAATAATCACAGATCTTTAGAAATCTGATAGAGCCATAATCATCTTGCAAATGAGAGAAGAGAGACATATACCTCTGTCCCGGAAATGCCCATAGCCACACCTATATCAGCCAACTTGAGGGCAGGAGCATCATTGACTCCATCTCCAGTCATGGCAACCACTTCTCCATCTTCTTTGAGTAACCTAACAATCTCTTGTTTGTGCTTAGGTTCAGCCCTCGAGAACAAGAGCCCTCCGGTTTGTCTTAGATGATTCTTCTGATCTTGAACATCCATAAATTCTTTTCCAGTCAAGCTTCTTGAAGAGATATCTTCACCTGCTTCAAAAACTCCAATTTCACGGCAGATAGCTTCCGCTGTGCTCTTGTTGTCTCCGGTAATGACCATGACCCGGATACCTGCTGTTCTGCAGTCTGCAATGGCTTGACGAACCTCTTTTCTCGGTGGATCCTTGAATCATTGAAAAAGTAGAGCATGAATAACCACCAAAGAAGAACAAGAGAGAACCAGAAAATATAATGATGACACGATCACAACTCACCCTTAAACCAACAAATCCGACAAATGTTAGATTGGACTCAATAGAAGAATAGTTGGATGGGTTGAGAAGTTGCTGGTGAGCAGGATGGTCTTCGCTGCCATCATAAGTAGCAAAATCTGATGGAACATCCGAGTACGCAAATCCGAGACATCTCAATGCACTCTGGGACATATCATGTAGGCTTTGTAAAATAAGATCCCTTGAGTATTGGTCAAGTTCTTGAGTGGAACCATCAAGTAACTGAACACGTGTACTCCTTTCCAATACATTTTCTACAGCACCCTGCAAATTTCCAAAATTGGTCACTTAGGTGCGGATAAAAAGAGGGGACAAAGACTTTTTTGACTAATAACAAGCGAACCAAAGCACAAGCCATGTAACCGTAGATAAAAGGTTCTCCAAAGTATACACTATACAAAGCTTCACAGGGTCGACCTCATGATGCAGGATATGCGAAATGATGAAAAACATACCTTAACCAGTAGCAGTTTTTTTCCTGAGCTGGAATCCACCATAACTCCCATTGATTTCCGGTCGCGGTCGAACTCAAGAGTGGCAATCCGTTGCTCTAGTTCACTCCATAGCCGACAACAACCTTCAAAAATGTTAAAGAAAGATAATATACAGGAGTTTAGCATCTATAAAACTGTGAAAAACATGAGTAACAAACATTATTCAGTATACATACGTAATACATCGCCATCAGTCAAAGTCGAAGCTTTACTTCCTTCGGGAAATCCCATTTTCTCAACCAAAACCTGCTCAGGGAAACAAACACCAATAGAAACAAAAAAATGCAGATTAAAATGTGAGGACAACAAATACAAGAAGTCTATCTAGTTACGAAGAGATAATGTAGTAGACCGATTTACCTTCAAAGCTGCCTCAGTAGGCATGCCCCTAGTCACAAATTGATGGTCAGATTGCTCGACACTAGCATCGTTGCAAATGGCAGCAATTTTTGCAATCATCTGAAGATTTGCATCCATCCGACCCGCTGGCCAATCTTCAATCTTTCCATCTCGAGGATCAAATGAGGTCCCCTCAACACTGAAAGATCGAAGGGTTCCAATTCTAGAACCCATAGCAACAAGCTTTGAAACAGCCATCTGATTGGTTGTCAGAGTTCCAGTTTTATCAGAACATATTACGGTGGTGCATCCAAGAGTCTCCACACTGGGCAACTTCCTAACCAGAGCATTCTTCTGAGCCATCTTCCGTGTGCCAAGGGCCAAACATGTGGTAATAACTGCTGGCAGACCTTCAGGAATTGCAGCAACGGCCAACGCTACAGCAATCTCAAAGTAATACGTGCACTTCTCGAAGGAAAACTTAAAGTTTCTGGGCCAGCCATCAACATACTCCCAGGACAGAAAGTACTTGACATTGATGAGCCACACCAACGCACATATTAAACCAATAATCATAGTCAAAGCTTCCCCGAATTCGTTGAGTTTTTTCTTCAGAGGGGTATCTTCCTCGTGTTGTGCAGCTTCCTGAATCTGTGAGTGTACCCTTCCAATCTCAGTACTCATCCCAGTGTCTGTAACTAAGCATATGCAGTTTCCATTCACAACGGTGGTTCCTGCAAAGACCATACACTTCTTTCCTTGAATATCGGCATTCTCCTCCACATGTTTGGTGGTTTTGCTCACAGCCTCACTCTCTCCTGTCAAGGAACCCTGCTCGACTCTAAGAGTTGAGCTGATCAAAGCCACAACACGCATATCAGCAGGCACCTTATCACCAACCCTCAGTTCCACAATGTCACCAGGAACAAGCTCCTTTGCAGGCAAGCTAGATACCTTGTTCCCATCGCGCACGACAGTAGCTTGCGCAGACTGTATCTCCTTCAAAGCTTCCAACGCCTTCTCGGCGTTAGTTTCTTGCCAGATCCCGACAATGGCATTAACAATTAAGATCAAGAAAATCACAAGCGGCTCAACAAATGCGGTGATCCCCATCTCGCCTCCTTCGTCGCCATCAAAGAAGGCCAAGACAAAGGAAATAACGGCTGCCGCCAAAAGAATACGTACCAAGGTATCATTGAACTGCTCCAAAATCAACTTAAAAATTGATGTGCCCTCAGGCTTCTCTAACTCGTTCAACCCATAGATCTGATGCCGCTTCAACACCTCATCAGTAGTTAACCCTTTCTCACGGCTAACACCGAACTTCTCTTCACATTCCCCAACATCTTTAGCCCAAGCAGGAAAGTTATCAGACTTGAACGATTCAGAACTATTAGTTTGCTTATTGTCCAAGTCTTCACCTCCTTTCCCCATTATCTTCCACTGCCAAAGAGATCGAATCAGTCAAACTATCATAGTGTACCCGGAAGACAATCTAATTGTAAGCTTCAAGTTAGACTAAACGAAACCATAGATTGAATCTGAAAATGAACGATAAATCCTCAGATAAAAACCGATCAGATCTGAAGTGTCTTCGTCGATAAAACCATCCAGACAGAACAAACAAAAAAAAAACTAAAAGGAGAATTGAGAATTCAAAAGCACACAGAGATCAGTGTCCAGCAACAGATAAACCGAAGATTTCAATATGAGAACGAGAAAGCTATGAACACAGAATACGGGATCGTGAAAACTCACCAGAATCGGAGCAAACTAAACGCCGGACTGTTTATTCGATGCAGAAATCGTACGCCTCTCTCTCCAGATTCTTCTCCTCTTCTTCCACGGACGCCTTTACATATAATAAAGGTTAATACTTATATCTATTCAATATATATATTTGTTTATTTATATTCCTAGAGTTTACTGGCTCGTATCTTTCCAGGGAAGTGACGCCTGACGGGAACACGATCTCATCAGTTTTTGCATTTAGGTCCTTATACTCTCTTTGTGATTTGTAAAAGACCTTGTTCTTGGTCCATTACTTAAGGGGCTTAAAGTCCAAATTTATAATATCTGGGGCAATTCGTTATTTTGAATAAGCTTTTCTTAGTGTAGCTTTACATTAAATGTATGCGAATATTTGCAATTAGATTCCAACGTCGATGGGCCTGTTGGACTCTTCCACGTCAGTGGCCACGTCGATCACATGGGACGGGCTCTGCCACGCCCATTTTGACACATGGTGATATATTATTGGTTGCTTTTGAACCACAAAAAAAAAAAAGCAAGGCACATTGAATCTCACTTTTATATTGAAGGAAGAGATCTAGTTTGACAAACTATCTTCCTGATACGCCAAGTTGAATGACAAATAATTTATTTAGTTGAAACTTAATAAAAGGATGAAAATTGTCAATTAAATTTTAACATGATAGAGTGATATTGCGGATGAAAGATTCTCTGGATTTTTCTTTAATGAACCCACTTCCCCTTATCGAAGTCGAATATGCATAATCTGAAACTGTTGTAAATGTAGCCCCAAGATATGTATATAATATTTGGGCCAAAAACCCCAAGCCAGTGCTGCATCGGCTTAAAGCCCACCCTGGATAAAACTCGGATGTAAGATTGGGTTGGGTTACGGTCTGAAGAAATCAGAAGGAGACAAGAGGAGTTGCAAGTTGCAACGAATCTGTAACTAGATTCTGACTAAAGAGGAAAGAGATCGAGTATGATCAATCTCTATACTTTATTATTCGTGATTCTTTCAAATATGATTTTTTTAGTTGTGAATTTTATTTACGTAAGCTTCTACTCAGATAATATCGGCATTCAACAAACCCTAACGTACAATACTGTATATCTTGGACTAGTTCTGCAAGGCGTTATTTATCAAACAAAAGTTTAAATTATATAGAAATTCATATAGTTGGATCATCAAACTTTAGAATGGGTCGTCAAATACGGAAAGTTCATGACGTGCACACTTTGCTTTATGTTTTCGTATATATACATATGGATTATGGACACACATACACATTTTTTCCGGTTAAAACAAAAGTACTGATCAATCTCTTTCAAAACTCACTATGTTCTTGTTCCATACCGTCCTTCTTCAGCTGCTCTTTTCTTTCTTATTAGGGTCGCCAACTCGTCATCGGAATATGGATTGTCTTCGTCCGAAGACAAAAGGCCATGAACGCAGCCGATATCAAACCCTATCCAGGTAATATGACAGTTCGTTATAATGTTTTGAAAGTTAATTACGCTTCATTGATGTTTACTATTTTTGTTAGAGCTTGTTTATTTTTTATTTTTAGATTGCATATCATAGTAAATTAGTAGAACTTGGCGGAATCGATGTGATGAAATGACTCTAAAAACTTGAACTAACTGTTTACACATCTTTTGTGACAAAGTACAATACAAGTGGGTATATATTGATTGTAGATAATATTTATTTTTCAAATGGAAAGTTTTCACCCGAGTCAGAACATGCAACGGAGTGTGGTTATAATAATTAGGTATTGTAATGTTTATCGAGATTAAGATAACTAGAGAATATTAAAATAACTGTGACATACATAATTTAATAGGAGATGTGGGAGCTAAAGAGATCGATGGGCTATAGAATGGATGAAACGACGGAAACGGCTGCCATGAGTGCTACTACCACAGGAAAGCTTTCAAATGGTGACACCAATTGAATAGTCGAAGGAAAAAGAGCCAAGAGTTTTTATGTCGTCGATTATTATTTTTTTGCGCCAAATCTGATATAAATTATTTACTTCTATGTGCCTAGTTATTTGTATTATTGATGAACTAGAAAAGTCATTTTTTAGTTATTATTTAAAAGATGTCTTTTTGTTAACAGCATGTCAATATGTATTACCGTATATCGGATTTAAATCCACCAAAGCAACAGCACTATTACAAAATACAAACTATTTTCTACTTTGTCAGAATTGTTAAAAACATGTTTATTTAGTAAATAAACCCAGGAATTAAATAAACTACTATATAGGGAAAGAAGAAAAGATTTCCTTCCTTTGACCAAAAAAAAAGATTTCCTTTAAATTGTTCGCTTGGCTTCCGAGCTCCGAAGTAGGACGTTCCAAAATAATAAAGGGAAAATCGACGAGAAAAAACGGTTAGTACTACAAAAGAAGGGATTTTTATATTCCGATTTCTTCTCCAATCTCCACCTTGGGGAATTTCGATCCTTTGAGCTTCTGGATTGAGATTTTTTTGTTCATCCTTTGGGTCCATATTATTAAAAGGTCCCTATTTCGTTTGGCTGCTAATTACAAATCTGAGTGCTTTAGGGTTTTCGTTTTTTCTTTTGGTGGTCATCCTATTTCCGATTTCGGAATGGTTGATCTTTCTATTGAATCCTTAATCTGGTTGTTGACATTTGAATGTTGGATCCAGTTTTGTCTTAATTCCCATCCAGTTCCTGAAGAGGTTTTGAGTTCATTGTTTGGAATGTATGGTTCAGATGCGTTCAACTTCTACTGTTTATAGCTCTGTGTCAAACTAGGGTTCTGTGATCGTTTCAAAGTTGTATCCTTTTCCATGTATTTCCTGTTCTGGAATTTTCTGCCTCACCATTTTAAACTCTTTCGTTTCAGGGAAATCAACCATTTACGACTGCAATCTTTCAGTCCTGAGTTCACTGAAGGGCTTTTGCATGTGGAGTTAATTACTATCTGCAAATGTCAAGTTTACTTAATGTACTGCCACCACATATCTTCGTATCACTAAGTTGCATTATCGTCAATATAGATTCTAGAATTTATATAATGTTTGTGGTTCCTCTGACTAAGTGGTAATTCCAAATGATATTCTCAGTCTTCAATAAACGGATCTACCTCGAATTTATCAGACGGTTCAGGGAGAACTTTTACTTCTTCTTTCTCTGGCCAGTCTGGGGCAGCGTCTCCAGTTTTCCATCATGCTGGTGCGTAGATGTTTCCTGCATTATTTCCGTCAGAGTTCTTCTCAACTTATATTGGTTCTTTTACTCTCTATAGGATCTATTCAGGGCCTTCATAATATTCATGGAAACTTTAATGTTCCCAACTTGGCCGGTACACTTGGATCGAGAAATTCAGGTCTAAACGGTGTTCCTTCTGCTGGAGTCCAACAACAAAATGGCAGTATTTCAAATGGAAGATTTGCATCCGGCAATCTTCCAGCTGGGCTCTCTCAGGTGCAGTCATGCTTACGTGTTGTTATCCTGAAACAATGCAAAATTGACCCTTTGCTTTGCCTCTGCTTCAACACTTGCTTTTGGATGCTCATTTGCAGATATCCCATTCCCATGGTAGCTCTCATGGACACTCAGGACTCACCAATAGAGGAGGTATGAATACAGTTGGAAACCCTTAATTCTGTAGTAACACTAATGGGTTTAGTTGTTCTATTCCTGGGAATCTTCCTACCTCTACCACTAGTGATAGTTGGTTTACTGCACCAGGAATGGGAGTTTCTCCAATTTTGGGGAATGCAGGCTCTAGAATAACAAGTTCTATGGGGAATATGGTTGGTGGAGGCTCAATGGGCAGGACCTTGAGCTCTGGCGGAGGATTATCTATTCCGAGTCTTGGTTCTCGGCTAAATTTGGCAGTAAACAACGGATCTGGAAATATTGGACAAAACCGAATGATGGGTGGGGTCCTTCCCCAAGGTATATACACTTCATGATATGCATCCTTTTCTGTTGTTTGTTAGAATTAATTATATGTGAATTTGTATGTGTGTTTTTAAGTTTTTTCCCAAAGTAGTGTCTCTTTACATCTTTTACGATTTCTGTGAAGTCTTATATTCTTCCCTCTCTCTTGTAGGATCTCCGCAGGTTCTTTCCATGCTGGGAAATTCCTACCCTACAGCTGGGGGACTTTCCCAAAATCATGTTCAAGCCATGAATAGTCTAAGCTCAATGGGCTTGCTGAATGACATGAACTCCAACGACACTTCTCCGTTCGATATAAATAATGATTTTCCTCAGCTCACAAGCCGCCCCAGTTCTGCAGGCGGTCAAGGACAATTGGGTGAGTAACCAAAACCCTTTCATTCTATCTTCCTTCTTTTATCAATTTGAAGCAAAATAAAACTCCGCTCTTTTCTGAAATTTCTTAGGGTCTCGATTGAAACAAGCCATTGGACTCAGCCCCATAGTTCAGCAAAACCAAGAATTCAGCATCCAAAATGAAGATTTTCCTGCATTGCCAGGATATAAAGGTCCCCTTTTTGTCTGCAACTTTTTTTTTTGGTTTAACTTTTGCTTTCTTGCTGTTTTTTTTAATGGTCCAATTGGATACAAATTTCTGAATCGTATTTATGTCCTATTTGTGTGCATTGTGGAATTTGAGGTTTTCACTCCAAAAGGAAACATCCACCTTCCACATTGGCATAAAATTTGGTGTTAAAGAGATTTAGAGAGTGATTTTGTGATAAAAAAGGAACCTGAATTATAAATCATGAAGAATTTGTTACGTAATCCTCATAATATTACTAGCATAGAATGTCCTTGCATTAAAAAAATTTCGACACTTTCGTGGTGGCTGCATTCAGTTTATTTATTGCTCTTATAAAGAGATTTCCGGTTAATGTATAGTCTTTTACAAGATTGATCGGTTGTATACAGGTAGTAATGCTGATTATCCAATGGATTTGCATCATAAAGAACAACACCATGAGAATTCAATTTTAATGATGCAATCTCAACAATTATCTGTGAGTTTAAGCTTGTCAAAAAAAAAAGTCATTGGGTTTAATTTCCATCCAATGGATGTTTTCATCACAATGTTTTACTGTATCCTCTAATTTGGGTACTAGCAGATGGGAAGGTCTGGTGGGTTTAA